CCAAAATAGAGAAGAGCAACAAACTTAACTTTCTAATTTAATATTTATTTATTATATTATTAATTATTTTATCAATATTTTCCATAACTGGTAAACTTATCACAACCTTACCTTAACCTTACCTCAACCTTACAACTTAATAATTACCTTACCTCAACCTTGACATATAACCTTAACTCAACCTTAACGTGTAACGTTACCTCAACCTTAACGTGTAAGGTTACCTCAACCTTAACGTGTAAGGTTACCTCAACCTTAACGTGTAAGGTTACATCAACCTTAACGTGTAAGGTTATCTCAACCTTAACGTGTAAGGTTACCATAGCCTTATCATATATACTTACCACACCCTAACATATAACCTTACCTCCATGGCGGAAGTTTTTAGTTCACGTTAGGTCTACCACAGCAATATCGTGTAACCTTATGAGCCTTACGATTAGTACTCAACATAACCTTACCTCATACTATTGTGCTATGTGGGAGATGGTTGCTGGGGGAGAAGGCATGGTTGGAAAGAATGAATGGAAATGAAGTAAGAATGGGTAGGGAATGTGTGTGGGTGAATGGGGTAAAATGGTGTGTGAAAGAAGGTAATGGAGGAGTGTTTGAGGTTGGAATGAATGATCGGGTGAATGGAGAGAATTGAAGGATAGTTTGATTGTAAGTTGGTTGGGATTTTGGTAGTAAAAGGTTAGGATGAAATCGTGAGACGGAATGGTTAGAGAATGAAGTTTGTGGTTAAGGATTTAAGAAATTTAAAGGGGTGGGACGATAATGGGGAGTCAGTCAGTATGGACAAAGGGAACTGGAAACGGAAGCCCTAGCACTGGCAAATTTTGAGAGGATGAGTGAGATGCGAATAGGTTTTAGTTGCGATTAGGTTAAGTTTTGTTGATGTGGGATATGAGAGGCGTTTTAGTTTAAGTAGTTTTGTATTTAGAATAAGCTGACTTGTGTATGTACTTGGGAGTCTCGAACCCTGCCTATTGCAGGGAGAATAAATAAACATAAAAAAAGCAAATCGTAAGTTTATTGAATATTCTTATGAGCTGTGTTCATATAGTAATAGGCTATATCGATGTGGCAGTTTGAAAGATTCAATAAATATTGATCCTAATACACCAAAATTATTATTTATAATAGGAAGTAATTAATACATTTGTATTAATTATTTAGTTAATTTTCAGAGAAATAAATAGATTTCTTTAAGTAGATTAAAGTAATGTTGAGCATTTTTCGATATTATAATTTATAATATCTAAAATAAATCAATAATTACATAATTTATATTTATGAAGAATATTTATTTGGTTAGAAAATAGTTAATTTAGGGAATAGGGAAAACTTGACCTTGTTATTGTAGGCAGGATTTATAAAATTTTATTGTTTAACTTTGTTTAAATTTTTGTTTATAGAATTGTCAAAAAGGAGAAATTAAGTAATTTCCGTTAATAAGTGAAAAGGGAATACATTGTAAGGTGAATGAACTTTGTTGTTTATTTTGTTTTGTTGATATTGAGTCGAGTTATATAGAACATAGCAACCGAACTTACTAAATTATTTATATATAAAAACTATATCATAAGAAAAGATTTCTTTATAGTTAAAAAATTGTGTTAATTATTATAATTTAACTTTGATTTATTAATTTATTATTTTATATATTTATCCTACAAACAGAAGATAAAAATTACCTTATTTAGTAGTGGATAAATTAGAAAGAATAAAAAGCTGAATTACCGAATAATTATTGGAGCAGATTCCTCTAATTTGGTTACAAAGCAACAAATTTTCTCAAAAATAAAATATAATATTAAATTGAAAAAAAATACAGATTACATAATTTTATTCATAAAATATATTACTATATGTTGTCAAAACAGATCTTATCAGTTGATATAGTTTGACGCGTGCCTCATTGTTAGAGGATCTTTAAATTTGGGAAACAATGTCCTTTTAAATTTAACAATAACATTCTTTCTATTATATCATTCATATGATATAAGAATGAGAATTGTCGAATACGTATGTGTGAGATAATTTTCATGTTTGAAACACGTGGGTTTTCAGAATATTACCGTACAGTGGGCTTTTAAATCAAAATAAAGGAAAAATATATAGATATATATACTTCCCTTGGTCTGTTAACCAATATACGAATGTTTCAGTAAGTTTAAATAAATAAATATAAGATGGTGATTCCTATTCTTGCCCTTTTTGAGAAGATATAATCATAAGTAATAAACAATATATATACCAAGCATAGTAAGGCATATACTGAACATATTTGGAATACAACTTTTTTTCTAGTGGACCGATTTGGTCCCATAATGTCTTAAATTAAAGGTGGAGTCTTCCTCTATACTACAGACCCCATGAGATGTCTGAGAAATTGTTTATAACAATGGAAATAAATAAATAAAAAATACAAGAGAGATGCACTGAGAGTATACCCTTTGTCCAATTTGAGTGCATCTCTCTTGTATTTTTTTTCCATTCATTTTCAAGAGATGCACTCTGACTGGACAAAGGGTATACTCTGAGTGCATCTCTCTTGTATTTTTTATTTATTTATTTCCATTGTTATAAACAATTTCTCAGACATCACATGGGGTCTATAGTACAGAGCGTCGCTTGGGGGCAGCAACATGCCGACTCAGCTAAACGGTGAAAAAGATGCCGTTTCAAAAAGAAAAGTGAAAAACATGCCATTTCACGAAACCTATGGAAACTATGCCTCGCCGCGAAAGCGCTGAGAAACATACCTTCTCCAAACGAACGGTGAAGTACATGCCTTTTCAACCGTAAATAAGTTGAAAAGTTGTATGAAAAGGCATGTTCTTCACCGTTCCTTTGGAGAAGGTATGTTTCTCAGCGCTTTCGCGGCGAGGCATAGTTTCCATAGGTTTCGTGAAATGGCATGTTTTTCACTTTTCTTTTTGAAACGGCATCTTTTTCACCGTTTAGCTGAGTCGGCATGTTGCTGCCCCCAAGCGACGAGAGGAAGACTTTAGCTTTAATTTAAGACATTGCGCGACTAAATCGGTCCACTAGAAAAAAAGTTGTTTTCCAAATATGTTCAGTATATGCCTTACTATACTTGTAAAATTCACAAGTATAGTAAGGCATATACTGAACATATTTGGAATACAACTTTTTTTCTAGTGGACCGATTTGGTCCCACAATGTCTTAAATTAAAGGTGGAGTCTTCCTCTGTACTATAGACCTCATGTGATGTCTGAGAAATTGTTTATAACAATGGAAATAAATAAATAAAAAATACAGGAGAGATGCACTCAGAGTATACCATTTGTCTAATTTGAGTGCTTCTCTTGAAAATGAATGGAAAAAAATACAAGAGAGATGCACTCAAATTGGACAAAGGGTATACTCTGAGTGCATCTCTCTTGTATTTTTTATTTATTAATTTCCATTGTTATAAACAATTTCTCAGACATTACATGGGGTCTATAGTACAGAGGAAGACTTTAGCTTTAATTTAAGACATTTCGCGACTAAATCGGTCCACTAGAAAAAAAGTTGTATTCCAAATATGTTCAGTATATGCCTTACTATGCTTGTGAATTTTACAAGTATAGTAAGGCATATACTGAACATATTTGGAATACAACTTTTTTTCTAGTGGACCGATTTAGTCGCGCAATGTCTTAAATTAAAGCTAAAGTCTTCCTCTGTACTATAGACCCCATGTGATGTCTGAGAAATTGTTTATAACAATGGAAATAAATAAATAAAAAATACAAGAGAGATGCACTGAGAGTATACCCTTTGTCCAATTTGAGTGCATCTCTTGAAAATGAATGGAAAAAAATACAAGAGTGATGCACTCAAATTGGACAAATGGTATACTCTGAGTGCATCTCTCTTGTATTTTTTATTTATTAATTTCCATTGTTATAAACAATTTTTTAGACATCACATGGGGTCTATAGTACAGAGGAAGACTCCACCTTTAATTTAAGACATTGCGCGACTTCCACTAGAAAAAAAGTTGTATTCTAAATATGCCAAGTCTATGGATATCTACATTACCGACTGCTTGTTATTAACATATGCACTCCGAGTAACTAAAGTGAATATTCGCAGTGCATCGTATTATCATAGAGGGTGCAACTATCTATTTCCGGTTTCCGGCATTTGATTTGGCCAATCAGTGTAACGCTGTGTAGGTCCACAGTTATTAGCAGACCTTCATTCAGGTTGGTGCTTCCTTTCATGCGTAGTGTAAAGTGATTATTAATAAAATGCCAGTGTGCGAAAGTGTCAGTTCTTTGTGGAATGTAAAATATTTTGCACATTATCCTCACAAAGTATATCGGTTGAGGTCATATCTAAGGAGAAATTTAGATGTGGATCTACGAAATGCTGTCGAGTTACGGAAAATTGCACGTGCTGCGTTTCGCATGACAGGCAATGTATCGTCGAAAAAATTATTTTCAATGGGGCGTTTTATCCGAAGTTTCGGCAATTCGAACGACTTTTTAAATGTGCCAGTTTATTATTTATGTCCGCAAGTTTAATTCCGATTTGCATACGAAGTGTAAATATAAAATAATTATATTTTCTTTTATTTTGAAGAATATATTAACCCCAATATATTCTTCGAATTAAATAAAAACATAATTATTTTATAAACATTCTTTTTTTTTTTACAGATACAAAGAGGCAAAACAGAAGCATAACATAAAATGCTTTTATTCTATATCGGAGATCACCGCAGCCAGAATGGCTGTTTTTTACTTTGCCTATGAGGACACAGACTCCGTCCCAAAAGAGTTGATAAAATTAATTCGATCGAAAATCATGGTAAAGAAGCCCCATAAAAATATTGTGGAAAATTTTAGGAAGACATTTGTCGTCGACTCTTTAGAAGTGCGGAACAGAATTTTAAACTTGTTTTTGGCGTACATGTAAGAATGGAAACACTTTTTATGCACCCAAAATAATAAGTGTTACCATTCTTAGTGTCGGATGTAAATTTTAAATTACAGCAAGAAGGTGTATACGGAAAATAACGCGAATAACCAGTTTCCACTGCTTCGTGCAGCAAAAGATGTAAATCTCATCAATGAGCTCGTCGGTGTGCAGCTGGAAGAAAATGAGAACATGGTTGCGGATGAGACTGATGAGACTGATGAGGATGCTGCTATGGAGGTTGAAAATTTAGACGACGAAGTCTTTGAAGTCAAATATTACGACAACCAATTGTACGACACTCGCCGGGTGGAGAAAATGAATAAAGAAAATTATTTTTCATTATTCGAAGGTAAGAAAAAAAAAATAAAAAATGATTCTAGTGGCTGTATTATAATTTTTTTTACTATTTTCCAGTCGAGGAACCGCAGCAGGAACCCCAGCAACCGCAGCAACCGCAGCAGGAACCGCAGCGGAAGAAGCCGAAGTTGAAGCAGCTGCAGAAACCCCAGCAACCGCAGCAACTGCAGCGGAAGAAGCCGAAGTTGAAGCCGAAGCAGTTGAAGCAAATGCAGGAACTGCAGGAGAGGGATAATGCTCTGGAAAGAGAAATGCTGAAGCTGCAACAAGCATGTGCAAGAAGGGAGGAATTTCTGAAACACAAAATGCAGCTAAAGCAGCGCAAGTTGCAAGAGCGACAGCAGCAGGAGTCGGCAAACGAAGGTTGGTGTATATTTCTAATTAATTTATTTTTGTTAACAATAAATAAGATAGACACTGACAATATACTGTTCAGCTATTATGAGTGTCTCCAGTATGAAATTTACCCAAGTTCATACTGGAGACACTGTAAGTGGCTGAGTGTTTTATTTCAAGTGTATATTTCTTATTAATTTATGACAAAAAAAATTTATTTATTTATTTATTTATTTATGTATGTGCAGTTTCACCACATCCAACAATGGAAGAGGTTTTATTGAATCCAACAATGGAAGAGGTTTTATTGAACCCTGAAGAAAGTAATACCAATAGGGTTGAAGAAAAAGAGAGGGAGGAAGAACCGCAGAACCCGTCGCAGAACCCACCGAACCCTGAAGAAAGTAATACCAATAGGGTTGAAGAAAAAGAGAGGGAGGAAGAACCGCAGAACCCGTCGCAGAACCCACCGAACCCTGAAGAAAGTAATACCAATAGGGTTAAAGAAAAAGAGAGGGAGGAAGAACCGCAGAACCCGTCGCAGAACCCACCGCAGAAGCCGGTTCAGTCATCGTCGTCGTGTATTATGGAAAAAATTGCGGGTAAGAGTTAATTACTGTTCGTAATATACGTTCAACTTCAACGTGATCTAGTGTAAAAGTCTTATAAAGAATGAAATTTTTGTTCATATCAACTAGAGGAAATTTTTATCATTTTCACATAATAATATCAAAACTTTTGTTATCCCCCCAGTCCTCTTGTTGTACCCAATACTTCAATTATCTTTTCTTTTTTAGTTATTAGGTAGAACGAGTGGAGAAAGAAAAGTAACGCAAATCCATGTGTTAGAAACAACCATTTTCTCCTGTCTATCTACATCACTCCATACAGGTATTCTAGGTTAGAACAGCAATAAACTCCTGCCGATTCGGATGTTATCCCAACAATGTCAACATTATAAATTGAAGTCACTGTTCGAAAAATCTTCATAATAAAAAACTTGTCTTCCTCAATTTTTACATTGTTAACAATGAGACCTACTCTTCCATCTTTAAGGACGCAACAACTGTCACGTAAAGTTGTTGCAAGGGTAAATTTTCCACTTTCCAATTTATGATACTGAAGGCATCTGTTGATGGCCGTATTTGGTGGTAAAGGTCCGTCAACATGGTTTTGAGGAGAGGTTTGAAGGCGATTGCTGGTTTCGAGCGGTTTTAAGTTAATACCATTTATCTCACAAATTGTTTTGTATATTTGTTGGAGAGTAAGATGCGGTTTTCTAACCAATTTTCGAATCTTTGGCATGTTATTTTTAAAATAAAAGGAACTGAACGTTTCTTGAGGGCCAAGTTCCTCAACATCTTCAACAGTGTGTAACATGCCATGTACATTATACGGCATAAATTGTTCGCCAAATAAAGGTACACACAATGTGACAAAAGTTTTTACGGCCATTTTACAAAAATCTTTTAATTCTGGTAATACGTTTTCTGAACCAAGTAACCGCATTGTACTGTTTAATAACATAAAATGGCCATAAAATTCTTGTAAAAGAACGTTTTTAAATACACCTGGTGCTGTGTAAAGTGCCAGTTGTCGAAACTCGGTAGCCTTGAAGTTCTTGTACAAAGAAATTTTTATTGGTCGTCGATTAAACTTAGATGGACAATATTCGTCTATCTGAAGCATTCGCGAGTTCATTGAAACAGAATCTTTTGTTTAAGAGAATTTACATTAATAACTTTATATTTTACACCTCACGCGGCCGGGTTCGTCGGCTGTGAGGGTTCAATATCAATTAAAAAGCCGTCAGGCGCCAGTTGACAGAAGGTCGACACTTTTATCAATTTGCAATATTAATTTTATTATGAAATTATCAAAGGGAAAGTGAGTTGGGCGAAAACACCAATACCTCCTGTTACATCTTTATTTCTATTTTTCTATAGCTTAAACGTTGAAAACCAAAGTTTCCTTTTATTATACTAAATAATATTTTTTTTACACATCCTGTCCACATCAGGTGCATTGGATCAAATGGTACTCTAGATACAAGCGGTAAGATTGGAGCTATTGGAGATTCACCCTTGTGATGATCTTCGTCAACTATATTAAAATAGTCTGCATCATTTCTCGAAGCATGTTCAGTACCTAAAAACACCATAACTCTTTCGAAACCCGGTTTACTACAATGACTCCCTGCAACTTTGCACTTAGAACATAAATTCAATGAATTGTGGCCAAAGTGATTTAAATTAAATGCTCGAGTCGGTGCATCTGCAATGAAGCTTCTTATTTCCAAAGGCATTTGTTTATCATTGATGCGTACTCCACCTTTATCCTGAAACTGAACAATTTCTTGAACCACTGGATTAAAAAAGTCAAAAGGATTGGACGGCTTATGCTTTCCTTTGTAAATGCCTGCAATAACAACTCTTTTGTCATATAAATTATAAATTCTATATTGAATGGGCCAATATTGATCCAGCCCTTTATTTATTTTAGCACCATCTGTGCTCAAGTCTACGATGATTCTCTCTGGCAACAAGTTCTCTCAAAGGCTGTTTAACTTTTGCATCAAAGTTTTTTTTAAACCCAATGTGAAGATATTCTCCACCTGGTACCATTTGTATTTGACTGCTATCGACGATTGTTGGTGTATTCAGAAGTGTTCGAGAATCTTTAGGTAAGTAGTTTGTAACGAAGGTATATTGCAATGCATAAGCAATTGCCATAGTCGTCGCGCTAGCCATTGGAGAGAGCGAGAAACGTCGGCGCATGCAGAGTCGTGTCTCTCTCTCCCCTTCCATACTCGCTCGTTTCTCTAGCTCACGAGAGACCAAGGTACCTCGCTGCACGATCGTAGATCGTCAGTTCGACTACCGCCATGGCTGGAGGTGCTCTTCTTGCCTAAAGGCCAACGCAGAATAGATCTGTAACCGGAACCGCAATTGTAACCGTAAGCGTAAGAATGAGTTAGAGAAGGATAAACAATATACCTATCCTTCTTTAACTCATTTTTTACGGTTACGGTTACGATTGCTGTTCCGGTTACAGATCTATTCTGCGTTGGCCTTAACCCGGACTTCAGGATCGAAGAAGGAAAATTGTTTCATCATGTGCTTCATTCTCTAGATTATAAAGAAACGCCGTACAATGAACAGTGGAAGTTGTGCGTCCCTAAAGAAGAGCGTGATGATATCCTTAAAAAAGTCCACGACGAACCAACAGCAGGTCATTTGGGAGTAGCAAAAACTCTCGCTCGCCTGGGAGAATTTTTCTTTTGGCCAGGTATGCTAAGAGACTGTACTGAGTATGTAAGAAACTGCGAAAATTGTCAAAAGAATAAAAGTTCTCAACAAGCTGCTCACAATAAATTACATTCTACAAATGTTGAAAATCCGTGGGAAATGTTATCCGTGGATTTCGTCGGACCACTTCCGAGGACAACTTCCGGTAACACTATATTATGTGTTATCCAAGATAGGTTTACGAAGTGAGCAGAATTTAAACCTCTAAGAAAAGCGACTACACTTTTGTTAATTTCTACATTAAAGGAAATATTTTTTCGTTTTAAACGTCCAAGAATTATTGTATCGGATAATGGCAGACAATTCATTAGCAACGAGTTTAAGAATTTCTTGGAAGATTTTGGTATTACACACCGTTTGACTCCACCTTATTCTCCTCAGTGTAATCCAGTGGAACGAGTCAACAAGGTGATAAAGACGATGATCCGACAATTCTTAGACGAGAAGAAACCGGACTGGGATCGCCATCTACCGGAGCTGCAGTTCGCTTACAACACCGCGCGTCACTCAGCTACTGGTTATACGCCAGCCTATCTTACCACCGGCCGTGAATTCCTACCACCAGGTTTCCAAGACTCGCGCTTAAACTCTCTAGATAATACGGATACCAATATTCGTATTAAAAAAATTCAAAATGCTCTTGAATTAGTTCGTTTAAATTTAGCACGTAATTTTCATTCTCAACAAAAACAATATAATTTGAGAAAAAGAGAACGGTCTCCAATTATCGGTGAAAAAGTATTCCCTTCTAGAAAAAATCGATTGACCACGATTCAGAACGATTAAGAGTTAGCAACTATCGAATCGTTTTCAATTGTCGTCAATTGGGATATATTTTGACACGATTCAGAACGATTCAGAGCTAATCGTTTTCAATTGTCGCCAATTGGGATTCATTTCGACACGATTCAGAACAATTCGTTTTCAATTTTCGCCAATTAGGATACATTTTACACAATAGTATTATGTTGCTTTTTTAAATATTAATTAAAATAAAAGATAAATAAAATTCAAAAAAAAGTTATTTCAATTTTAATTATTTTTTATAATGTTTATATCTTGATATTACTGCTTGCAATACTTATAAGCTATACATATATGGGAATGGAAAAAATTTGTTTAATAATTTGTAACTATTTCACTGAAAATAATTTTTTTATTCTGTTCAAACGCTTCCATAGAGCCCATTTCTTTGGTTCTTTAGATGTTTTTTGTAACATATTTAGGTAATTTATTTTAATGGCACATTTTCTTTCTCTCAATCACTTACGGTAAAAAATTTTAATATTTATTCGCAGTCTTAAAATGTTTAGATTATTTAGTAATAACTTTTGTTGCAGATTTTAACACTAATAATAAAAATAATATAGTTCCAAAGTATTACGCAGTCTTAATCATAATACTTGAGATTCTTATATTTTACATACAATAAATTTTCTATAACAGGACTTCAATTATAGAAATATGTCGTAAATTTTATAAACCTAGTTATGAGAGAAAGTATAATAAGCTATACAATTGTTTATTTCCATTATACAGAGATATTAAAGTCGTAATTACAATATTTTTGGATGAAATTCTGAACTGAATTTTACAAATACTTATTGAATTTCTATGTTTTGCGGAAGTCGACAAACATAACTGCCATTTTTACCATTAATATAGACTAATTTCTCTGTCACATCATTTATGGAGATCAAGCTAGTTTCATTATTTATTTCTTCAACTTTATACATATGTCCAACGAGTTCATCGGGAATCACTGTTAACTTAACGACTGACAAATAGCACGTTTCGGCAGTACGAATAATGTCAAGAATTTGAATGACAACTCCAGAACGTAATTCAAATACTGTGTCGTTTCTTTTAGTAGAAAGTGTATTTTTAATACTTTTGTAAACAGTTCCTCTAAAAATGCATTTATTAAAAGAATCCACTTCCAATTCTTCATTATTTATTGGATTCACAATTTGCATTCGCGAACTTCTACCAAAAAAAGTTACTCCATAAGGACTTCTTGTGGCAAATCTGGATAATCGAGTAGCAGAGAAAATTTGTTGACAATACTGCCTTGCAACTTCTGAGTGGAAAATTCCCCTGAACGTTTGAAATTTATAATCCAAAATTTCAAGAGATTTTGTTGCCATTTGTTGTTCCGGTTTTTTGGGACCTAAGGCATATTGTTTTAAAACGTGCAAATGGCTTTCAAAACAAAAAGCAGAAGTTGCCCACAAAGGACCTGAATTACGAACAGATTCACTCAAATGAAGTAAAATATGGACATTAAAAGTCATTGCATTTCCTCCATAAAGAAGCTCAAATTTTCCAACAAATTGTACCATGTTAATTTCGCAAATAAGAAGCTCCTCTTCTGTTATTGCTTTCTTTAGCAAAGTGAACACAGTATTGACTAGTAGTGCAAAATGATTTAAACAATTATCTTTTAAAATTCCTCTCAAACAAGGTACTCCAAAAAATAGAAACCAACATCTCCACTCCGTAGCTTTCCATTTGGACTTCGATGAAAACTCTCGCATTACTCTATGATTTTCTAGAATCGTTTCAACTGAACTTAAAAGTTCATTGATATTTGCTACATCCTTTTGTGACAGAAAACCTAGTTTAATCCACAATTCCCAAAGATGTTGAACAACGCCAATTAGAACGCAGTGCATGTATTCGAGAGAAAAACTCCAAACAATGTCGAAAAATTGATTAATATTTAAGAAACTAGATCGACCTTTTATTCCATTAACAAAAGTTTTTCATAAATCTTTAACATTTCTAATAACTGCATTCTTTTGCCGCGAGCAACAAAAAATTTAAAATTTAATGTTATATCGCCAATTTTTAGGTTAACGCCATTCTCATTAATTGCATCAATCTGTTTTATAAATTCATCAATAAAAGAGTTCATTAAATCGGAATTAGGTTCTTTGTCGACCATCATTAATCCAGACTGTTTTTACATCATGAAGCTTAAACAATTTTTCAATTTGATATTGTAGATCAACCATTAAAATATATTTCCCCTTTCGGGTGGATAAATTACATCTTGAACCGCATTTATCACAAAGACCTTCGGGGTTAATCATTTTCTTATTGCTAGTTGAAAGTAATATTTTTTACACGTAGGACAATAAAAACAGAAAGTTAATTTTTTTCCTTCGGGTTCAAACACACGGGTAATCAAATAATTCGATAGATTTAAATAATCAAATTTTTGTTGCAAACACTAAAAACATTCAATTTTTGAGAAATTACAAATAATTGCAGAAATTCAATTATTTTCAAAAAACAATAAAATTCTTTTTATAAAATTCAACTATGTTCAAAATTAAAACAAAATTCTCGTAAAAATCCCAATAATCTTTATAAATAACAAAATTCTTGTCCAAAGTTCAATTATTTTCATAAATGTCAAGAAAATTCTTGTCCTACTTTTAATTATTTTCAAAAAGTTTCTAATTTCAATGATTTTCAATGATTTTTTAAAAAATAAAATTGTATACAAACATGTAATTATTTTCATAAATAATAAAAATTTTACACGAATTCTATTATTTTCATAAATAATCAAATTTTTTTAAGGAATTTAATTATTACTTTCATAAAAAAGAATTTAAAATAATACAAAATAATAATTGAATTAAAATGATGAAAATAAATTTCAATGAAGTTACGGTTACAATATTCTTATAATAGGTGTATTCCACGTCAGTTCAACACAAAAAATTTTATTAGGTTTTGGGACTCGGTTGAAATTGGGTAGATTATATCCTCTGGTGGTAATAAATAAAATCCCCAAACGATTTTAAAAAATTTCAAAAATTGGCGGACATATTGGATTTTTAATTTTTTTGTACTTTTTTTTGAAAAATATATATCTCTGCTTGTTCTTAACGGATTTTAGTTTATGACCTCTTAAATTGTTCGTATTGAAATATACTTTTATTTAAAAAATTAAAATTAAGAAAATTATTTAAATTTTTTGTTTAAAAAATTAATTTAATTTTTTGAAAAGCCATAGAAAAAATATGCTACCTTCAATTTTGATCATTTTTTTACCATTTGTAGCCATAAATGTGTTGAACTTGTCCTAAAATTTTCATCGTGGGACAGCCAGTAGTTTTTGAGAAAAAAAATAAAACGTAAATCCTCGCATAGCGCTGTAGCGCTCAGTTTTAATGCCGCACGATTGTAAATGGAATTTTAATGAAAGTACGAGTTTTTATTAAACCTAGAACTAAAATATGATTTTTTTATAGGCTAACGAAAAACTGGGGTGGTTTGGTACCCCAGATTTGAAACAATTGTAAAAGGTTACCTTTTTTGTAATTTTTTTAATTTGTCAACAATGTGGCTAATTTAAAAAAATTAAACGGATATTAAAAGGTAAATAGAGACAATTTTATTTTGATTAAGGCAACTTGAAAATTTAAATATTATTTACAATATATACAAATGTTAAATGATTTTAAAATAGAATCAAAATCATTTATTACAAAGGAGGTTTCTATTTTTTACGGGGGAGTTTCCGAGGTCTTACAGTTTTTCTTTATTTACCTTTTAAAATCCGTTTAATTTTTTCAAATTAGCCACATTGTTGACAAATTAAAAAAATTACAAAAAAGGAAAACTTTTACAATTTTTTCAAATCTGGGGTACCAAACCACCCCAGTTTTTCGTTAGTCTATAAAAAAATCATATTTTAGTTCTAGGGTTAATAAAAACTCGTACTTTCATTAAAATTCCATTTACAATCGTGCGGCATTAAAACTGAGCGCTACAACGCTATGCGAGGATTTACGTTTTATTTTTTTTCTCAAAAACTACTGGCTGTCCCAAGATGAAAATTTCAGGACAAGTTCAACACATTTATGGCTACAAATGGTAAAAAAATGATCAAAATTGAAGGTAGCATATTTTTTCTATGGCTTTTCAAAAAATGAAATTAATTTTTTAAACAAAAAATTTAAATAATTTTTTTAATTTTAATTTTTTAAATAAAAGTATATTTCAATACGAACAATTTAAGAGGTCATAAACTAAAATCCGTTAAGAACAAGCAGAGATATATATTTTTCAAAAAAAAAGTACAAAAAAATTAAAAATCCAATATGTCCGCCAATTTTTAAAATTTTTTAAAATCGCTTAAGGATTTTATTTATTACCACCAGAGGATATAATCTACCCAATTTCAACCGAATCCCAAAACCTAATAAAATTTTTTGTGTTGAACTGACGTGGAATACACCAATATAAAATAATGATTTTATCTCTCAGTCATCTTTAATTATTAGAAAACATGAAGAAATCGGTCACTCCGAGCCTTTGACTGGGAGCAATCGATTTCTTTATGTTTTATAACAATATATTCAAATTAATATAGTTAATTAATTAATAATTAATTAATTAATTTTTTTATTTAATAGCAGAAAAAAAGGAAAAAGATAGAGGCGCTGAGTTACAAACATTAATATCAAAGAAGAAAAATGAACTGCTTTTAAAATCTAATAATATAGAAATAGATAAATCAGTATCAAGAATAAAAGAAAATATTCCTTCTAAAAATTAAAGACCTACATCTCCTACTTCTCCTCTTGCAAGGAAAATGAAAATGGAAAAACCAATATCAAAAGAGAAAGAGAATACACCTCCAAACAGTCCTAAACCAGTTATTGTATCTGATGTTATAATCAAAAAAGGATCAGGAGCGGAAAATATTGATATTCTACAAAAAAAATTCGACATCTCTTTCTCTCACTACAATTCAGAAACCAAGTAGTTCTGTTTCAAAAATAAAAGGAATACAGAAGGAAGATTATAAGAATCATTTACAAGCAACAAATTCTGAACCACTTTTTGATCTTAAAAGTGATAAACCGATTTATTCTAATAATTTCAAAACGAATGAAATGACAAGGATTGTAAATTTTAATTCTTCTGAAATAAATAAACTTACATCTCATTCACTGTCTGAAAATAATAATGAATCAGGTGCTACTTCTGCTTCAATATCAGGAGTAGGAAATATTACCATCGAACATTCAGAGGTTGATAATTTTAATCTCATGAGCAAGTTAAATGTTCTTTCTAATAATTCAATGGCAGATATTAATAGTACAACTATCGTCATAGACCAAGTTTTACCTGTAATCTCTGCATCAAATTTATTGCGTGATTCAGGCCCAATAACCAGTATTTGCATAAATTTTGAGTGTCAATCTCGATTATTAAAAGCAGAAGAGACGATTTCAAATTTAACCAGATTGTTAAATCAACAATTCAACATTGTTGATGAACAACGAATTGAACTGAGATACGAAAAGGAGAGAAATTCTGAACTGCAGTTAAAAATGGAGAACAGTTTCGACGAATTTCAAGGTATGTTTTTATATATTATTTATTCATAATATCAAATGTTTCTTTTTTCTAAACTACATTCATGCAACTGTTATTTATTTTAGCAAGAATTTTAGACTCCAAAGAAAACTCTCGATTATCGTCGCATCCTCCTATTGGATTTATCCGTTCTTCCGACGATCACGTAAATTTCTTATATTTCGGAGTGCTTAGTAAAATAAAAATTAGAAAAATTGCGAAATCGATCGTGAAAATACCAATTATTTCTAATAGTCTATTTACTAAACACTATCGATTATAATTATAATTCATCATAATTTTTTCCAAATATTCATAATATATTTTTTTTAGATTCATCTTGGTGGAGGCGTGTGGCTGCCTAGATATAAATACAATGAAGCAAACGTTTTAGATTCGACTTCCTTGTTTGTAAAATTATTATGTGACATGCTCTTTACACAAGAAGAATTATTAAACTCAACCGTTACAGGAAAACTGATCAATAGACAAAAAGTTTCTCAGAAAGAAATTCAAAAATTGGATCCGACAAGAGTTTTAGCCATAAAAGGTATGTCAATTATTCAATACTAGTTATTAATTATAATAATAGCAGACCTCGGATATTATTACTTTTTCGACTATTTTCAAAAAATCCAACTTTTTCGGCTTATTTTTAGAAATTGCGACTTATCAACATCATAATGAAATGAAAAGTTTTTAATCAACTTTTTACTAAAGAAAGTTTTTTTATTTTATGTGTTAGTTTTTTGTTTCAGTAAAAGAAAAAATAGTTTTTCAAACTAAATTTAAATTTAAATGTTAAAATATTTTAAAATTGTTATCTTTCTAGATATAACAAGATATTGGTTAGAAGCATTGAAGTGTTCAGCTGAAGTTGTTGATGAAGAGGTCGCGAAGGTGAAACCATATATTTCGGCCAAAATTGCAGAATTGCACAGAGCTCCAGGTTCAAGTATGTGAAAATCTAATAATTTCTTCGGGTAAGCGTACCATTGACCGAGGTTAAGTTATTTGTGAATACAATATTAATATATAATTTTTTTAATTTGTAACACTTATTAAGCCAAAGTCTTTGTACCCAATACAATTGGAAGGAAGGAGAGAGGAATACTTTATACATTTCTCAACCCAAATAATTTGTTGAGCGCCAGTCCCTTCTAAGGACATTTTCTTATAAAAAGAAAATTAGAGAATTAACAAAATTAAGTATAATTTTAAGGAAACAAGACCATTGATTTCCCAAAATTTAGAATTCAAAAATTAATAGCGAAAACAAGTACCTAGATTCCCGAGAAACAAGACCATTGATTCTCAAACAATCGTCACTTAAAACAAACAAATTTTAAAAGAATTTTAGTCAAATTATAAACTAAATTAAGTACCTAGATTACAGAAAAATAAGACCATTAATTTTCTGATAATCGTCACTTCTAAAGAAAACGAAATTTTAATCAAAACAACCTTAAAATTGACTAAAATCCAAATTCAAATACAAAATTGAATTCACAAAATTTCGAAACAAGAGCAAAAGCCAGAGAAAAAGGCGCAAAAGAGAAATTACAAAATGTAAACTAAATTTTAATAACTTGAGGAACACTCGAAATTTTGAATAAAGCGTCTGATTCGATCAAAGGCAGGATCCAAAGAGAACGATGATAACGATGATTGCCGGCTCGTACCCTGCTGGTCCTTCTTCGCTTCTCCCCACCGGTAGCCCTTCAGAATCTTGTATTGTTACGCCGGAAAAAGGAGCGTAACCACTGGAAAATCCATAGGCCAATTTCAGCTTTAAGAACAGCTGTCGGCATCCCAATTTCGGTATCTTGACTCGTGTCTTTCTCGTCATCAACTGTTTCAGGGAATTAGTTCCTAATTTGTGGCTACTCTGATTCAAAACTAAATAAAACAACTAAATAAACCAAATAACCAAAATACAAAAATCAGAGCGGGCCTTTAGCAACGATTAATTCGGGCCTGATTGACAAGAGGTTTTCACTACGAAGAAAATTTGACGAGAAAATTCTCCCTTATTTGTTTCATAAATAATACTCCTGAATGATATTAAATATTCCGGAATAATAATAAAGTTAATAAATCTCAGGGTATTATTATTATTTATAACAATTCTCGGGTTAGGTACAAGAAAAAGGTAACAATTTCAAAATTATTTCAAGCTAAGTTGGGTGACTTAGTAGTTTCCGGTAGGTAGGGGAAAGCGAAAACGGGGAGAACATAGCGAGAGCGGCAAGTCTCGAAGAGTCATTTCTTAGGAGAAATGGGGAAATTCTCCTTGATTCGTACGAAGAAAGGGGGAAATTGTCAACGACGAGAGGGGAACTCTGCTTGCAGGTTGACCGACGAACGTCGTTTTCGATGATTTCAAATACTAGAAATATTCAGAGAATACGAAAAACAAAAATTTGCAAAAGCGAAACGATAGATAATATTTATATTATCAAATTAATGTTTAGGCCATAAACTAGTTTTAATTTTTAAGCTTTGTTTTAGTTATTATTATTGTTAAAAAAAATGATTGTTTGTAATTAAAATTTATGCAAACTTAATATGAAAATCAGTTAATATTTTTATGGAAAATTTGTAACGTCACATAGTATTATTTTATTTATTTTAATTTACCTTGTTATTAAATATTATTTTGTTACAATATACTTACTTACGAAGGTTTAAATTTGGCCTAGTTAATGACTATACCTTTTCCATATTTGGTCCTAATAATTTCCCTACTAGTAGATTATTGTTTTGATATAAAGATGGCGCTTTCCGCCTAGTAATGTTCTTAAATAAAATAATAAGGTACCCGGACTCCATCCGGCGAGCGAATTCCGTAGCAAATAAAAATCATATCATTACAAGTTTAAATTAAAAGGAAATTTTAAAATAAAAGGGTGGTAAGTATTAATAAATACAAACCTTTTAATGATCTCTACACCTGTAAGACCAGAAGAAACATTATCCGTAACGTTGCTCACAGACTTTCTTTTGCGAATATGCTCTAGGAGAAAAGACATTTCTTTAACATAATGAAATTTTTTTCTAGAAGAAGAGGCACTTCCACTTCTACTTTCTGCTTTAGACAATCTCTTTTTTCTCAAGAACTTCTCTCTTAATTCCTCCCACTTCTTTTGAGCGGTTGCAGCTAAAATATTTAATATTTTTATTTTTATTACATAAATTAAAGTAATTTTTTTAAATTTAAATATTTTCGTTACTTACGGTGCATTTTTAGAATTAGAGAAATTTCTTCCCACGCCGCCTCCTTCATTCCCTTGTCCTTATTTTCTTTTGAACTTTTCTGATAAATGCAAGGATAATCTCTCACAAGCTCGATTAACATCAAGTCAGTATTATCATCCAAGCAATCAAGAAAAATATCTTCGTCGGATTCGGCATTGTTTTCTGGATTCATGTTTTCTAAAATAAAATAAATAAAAAATATAAAATAAATTTTCTTTGTATTTGTATGGCAGATTTTTTCTCTTTTCAGTGTGTCCAGCTACATTGAAAACCTTGAAAAGTACTTGAATTTTATGACAAAACCTTGAAAAATTAAAATTCATAAAAGTGAGATTTATTTTCTTGATGTTTTAAATTGAATTCTCGTCAATATTTCAATTATCTTTATAAATATAAAAATTCTTTATAAATAAATAACAATAATCTTCGACAAAGTTCAATTATTTTGTGGAATTTTAATAAAATTCATTGCAAAATTTAATAATTTTAATATAAATAATAGAATTCATCACAAGAATTCAAATACTTTTAAAAATTTTAATAAAAATCATGGCAAATTTTCAAATTATTTTAAAAAAATGTTCTTTCTTCAATGGTTTTCAATATTCTATTATTTTAATAAAATTTCACGAAACAATTTAATTATTAAACAAAAGTTTTTAAAATATTCTTCACAAACTTTTAATTATTTAAAAAAAAATTTTCTACATTTATTTAATTATTTAAAATAGAATTTGCATACATTTTTTCGCAAAAATAAATTGTTTCAAAATTTGGCATTAAATTCTTCGAAGTAATTCAATTATTTTCAAAAGTAATAAAATTTAATTTTATTTTCAAAAATTTTAATAAACCTCATTGCAAAATTTCAATGTATTTTCAAAAATTTTTCTTAATTTAATAATTTGTGTATCAATTATTTTTAATCGAAATTTCCAAATGAATTCAATTATTTAAAAACAATTTTGATTGATGTTTCTTAAATCTTTCAAATTTTATCAACTTCATTATTTCAATATTTATTTTACTTTAATAGAAGTGAAGAACTAAAATATACTACAAATGACATTTGTTTGGAATTAAAATGATTCAAAATTAAACGATGTTTGTAAACATTTTAATATCCTCTAATTATATTTTTGTTACAAGGTTACTACAATAACTTTTAGTAATTGAAATTATATTTGAAATTTACATAGAATTTTGATAAAATTTATTTGTCTAATGTATATATATATATATATATATATATATATATATATATATATGGATTTAAACTATTTCATATAATAATTATATTTTAAACAATATTTAAATAAACAATTAAAAAATAAAAGAAAAAAACAAAGAAATTATATCAAAATTTTATGTAAATTTCAAATATAATTTCAATTATCAAAAGTTGTTATTATTAATTATATTAATTATTATTATATTATTATTAATAATTTTTAAAATACTCACCGATTATTATTTCCTTTGAAGTAAATCGCGAATTAAAATCACATTTATCTTTATAAACTTTCTTCTTATAATAAGTGTGATCCGATGCCATGCGTGGAGGTTAAATTTGTGAGGTTCGCTGCAATTCCAGCATCCTTTCCGACAGTTGCGCCGTAGCCATTGGAGGACTTCCTCGGTTACTTCGCTAGGTCGTGATACTTTGATGTCGAGGAGTGAGGGAATCTTCTTACTGGGCGGGGTTGATGACGTGGATGGTGGTGTTCTTGATTGAAATGGGTTGTTGTCGGGTACGTTGAATGGTTTAGATGGTGTAGGTGACCAGGGGTTAGGTTTGTTTGAATATTTCCAAGGGGCATGGTGATCGATTGGGCATTTCTTATTATGGCAATAGGTGGGGTCTCTTGATGGAGATTGTCGCTTTTGCGTTTTGCTGGGGAACGCGTGTGGGGCAAATAGTCCGGAGAACTAGGTCGATAGGTCGGAGTACTGGGGCGTTTAGGGCGTGATGAAACAGCTGGTGTTCTTTGAGAGCGACTAGAGCCATAAATATTTTTCCTTAAAATAGGATGATGGTCTTCTTGATGAGGAAGTTGTGAAAGTGTGGAAGTTGAGTTTGGGGTGGGGGTAACGGGGGAAGGTGATGAGCGTAGGTTTGGGTCAGAAGTGGGGCTTGGTAACGAGGGGTGGGTCGTGTCAGGTGTGTTTGACAGAGACAGTATTTCGTCACGTTCGTCGTCTGAAATGTCCAGGTGAAGGGCAGGTGAAGTGGTTGGGTCGTGATCGTCTTGGGGCATGTTCGGGAGATTGGTCATCTGGGCACCATCATTTTCCTCGTTTGCTGGCACTGCTTTAACTTCGATTCTCTTCGAGTTGAGGAAATTCTGGCTTTCAGCTGCGAAGGCTTGGGAAAGTGCAGAGTTCAACCCTGGGAAGAGGCGATCTATGTTAGACAGGATGCTACGGAAGGGCTTTAAAAACTTCCAACTAGGTTGGTCCACATTCCGCAGTTCATCTTCCAAGGTCCAGGGTTCGTCCCCGGCAAGGGCTCGTAGTAACTTTTCAGCAGCTCTTGTAACTCTTCTATCTTCAAGAGGAGCTCGCGGTTCTCCTCTTTCCGATCTTTTAGGATCTTTCCCGCTTCCTGGAACTTGTTGACCAGTTCGGCTTGTTCAGTCCCCATTTTTATGATGACGTCATTTAGTTGTCTCCCTTTCTCCTGTTGTTGGAGGGCTATTTGGGTTAGTCTAGTTACCTCGTTGTAGTATTGGAGGATGTACAATGCTACAATGGGGTTATCGTTGGAGGGCTCGGGGTGACTTTCCACGTGGGAATCGAAAGGAAACTCAGGACTTCGTAAAAGCTCCGCTTCCTCCTCTGGTTGCAGATCCTCTAGGTTGCCGACATCTCCTTGGGTGTCCTCGACATCCAGGAACTCCCAGTCACCAGGGTGAAGTTCGGACGATCCTTCCATTGCTATATCGAACTACTGTAGGTAAAAAAAAAATTTAAATAATAAAGGAGTTTTACTTGTCCGATTTTGAACTTGGACATTCCACAGGACAGATGACGTAACTTCATAACAGCAGTAGACGGACTTAACAAACTTCCAAA